TTTCATCCCCAGCAGAATAAACAGTATATGTGTGCATATAACATATAATACACACACACATGTATGAAACCAACATGTTGCCACTGCACAAAGAGGGTGACACTGTGTGTGTGTGTGTGTGTGTGTGTGTGTGTGTGTGTGTGTGTGTATTCATGGTAGTTATAGTGGTGAGGACATAATTCTAGCATGAGGATTGCAGGTTCTAGAATAGCCTGGGCTACATAGCAAAATGTCTTTTGAAAAAAAGCAAAAGGAGCTAAATGAATGAATTTTAGTGAAATGCATAGTGTACCGAAAAGTTTAATCTTGATTTTTAAACACAAAATCCTGTCCTTGTGAGAATTTCCAATCATTCTGATTGGCCCTTCAGCAACGAGTCTTTTAGCTTTAAGTGTCTGTGTCCTCTAGCTGCATTTTTATACAGGGACAACACGAAATAAAGGCATTAAGAAGGCTTCGATCTTAATCAGAATCCAAAATAATATTTTAACATTTCTGTGTCTTACAGTGCAATACCAATAAACATGAGAAATCCTTTGAAGTGCTTGAGATGAATCTGGGTGTTTATGCATATTAGCTAAGTGCTCCCCCCACTACATCCCTAGCTCCCACCCCAATCTCTTAATGTTGGAGTTCCAAGTGGTGATTCTCTTATTTTTGTTATTTTATATGTGTGCTGTTGTGTCTGCATGTATGTGTGTACCAAGTGTATGCCCATGCCTGTGGACGCCAGAGAAAGGTGTCAGATCCGCTGGAACTGGAGTTTGATAGAGATGAGTCATTATGTGGATGCTGGGGACTGAACTCAGGCCTGCTGAGCCATGCACAGGTGGTAACTAGATTAAGAGGATGTGTGTATCCAAGTTTAAGTGTGCACAGTGTGTATGTGTAAGTGTGCACATATATGCGCAATGTGCATGTGCAAGCATGAGCATATATGTACTGTGTGTGTGCGCACGCGCGCCCACCCACACCTAGACATGTGCATACAATATTTTCTCAGAAGTTCTCATTTAGCTCCCTTCCAAGACTCTAGAGCAATGATCATCAACCTTCCTAAATCTGTGACCCTTAATACCATTCCTCGTGTTGTGGTGACCCCCAACCATAAAATTATTTTCATTGTTACAACATCACTGTAATTTTGCTGTTATGAATAGTGATGTAAATATCTGATATGGGGGATGGTCTTAGGCAACCCACAGGTTGAGAACCACTGCTCTAGAGGGAGAAATGTTTTCATATGCAAATCTTGATAACTGGAGCTTCTGACCACACCTCCAGCTGAAACCCCCAGCCTGACTCAGTCCACTCCCCTCCAGCTCTTTGCCCTGGCCAGATGCTTTGGTCCCCTCTGATTGGATCTTGGCCACACAGAGATGCAGATGCTTTGGTCCCCTCTGATTGGATCTTGGCCACACAGAGATGCTGCCGGGATAAGTGATCTAATTCCAGAAGGGATCAGATGGACTCCAAGCATCAAGAATGACTGTGTTAGAGACATGGAATTCTCATCTTGCCAGGCTCATTCTCTAATTTATTCACTGTGCAGAAGAAACCCCACAGTCCATCCTTTTTAAACAAACCCCTAGTCCAGACTATTTCTGTGAGATCTGTCATCTCCCCTATGGCACCCCCGAAACTGAGTCATGAATCTGTCCCCACCACCTATAGCAAAGTGCCTCTTGGTTAATTCTATCTGTGTCATATGTGATGACTCCCAGAGAAGCGCTTAGAACATCTGCCACCATATTCCATGAATCGCCCAGGCGTGGTAGCTGCTATTCTGAGGGACTCCACAGCAAAGGGATTACTAGATGCTGCAAGCATTGGCAGAATTCCACTCTGGAAGGCAAACATTTTGGAGAAATTTCTCCATTCAAAATATCAGTGTTTGTCCAAGTTAAATTCAGAAAAATCGTCAGTCACATTTAATCCTGAAGAACTGAGACAGGAAAATTACCCACACATGTATCCACCCTGTCCCTTCCCAGTATATACCATTATAGCTGGATGCCATCACCAATAATCTCAGGGGTATGGGTTGAGGCTGCAAGGACATTGTCTTCCTCCTGCTCACTGCACATGATACCAAGGCTCTGCAGCCTGGAGTGCCTTGTGAATGTCTGCAAGTGTGTTCTTTATTCAGGCGTTCTAATAACTCTGGTGCTGATCTCTGTTCATTATATGCACAGGTATTGAGTGCCTGCTATGTTCCAGGCACTACATTAGGTCCAGTGTTGCTGTGGTAAACAAAATGAAATACCCCTCCCCTTCCAAAGCTTGTATTCCAGAGGGGAGCTGGAAAGGACGTGGAATGGTAACCCAGGGGGTGAAGAAACAGAGATGGCCAAGGGTGTGGGAGGAGGAGATACAGCAGGGCCTTTGCTGGCCACTGGATTCCTCCTGCCACACTGGAGGGCCACACTTTCAGAATAAGTGATAGACTTAGTCTAGACACCTGGATGGTCCCTGTTTCCCTCACATCATGGGCCCATTATTACAGCTTCTGGAATGTGTGATGGTGTGCTGGAGGACACTGAGCAGCCCATATGGACCATTCATACAGTCTCAGATTTTGCCCCCTGGCCTCTCTGGGCAAGATCACCCCATTAGGAAGCTCTGCTCTCCTTTATTGGGAGCCTACCCCTTCTTCAGACCCTGTAGTCCTTCCATTCCTGACCAGGGCAAGCCATCTGAATGACTGCATTCCCTCTACCCTTTATCCTCATTGCCATTTCCAATGATTGTCCCGTGAACAACCCCTCTCTGACTGTACCACCAGGATGGTCTGTGTATACACCAGCTTGTCAACACTACACCTTACGCCCCCAGACAGCATGGTAAATGCTCCCACTGAGCATGTATATAACCAATGACTAAGATTTCATTTTCCCTTTCCCAGACATCTCCCAGGGCCTGGCACAATACACAAGAAATCCAGGCCTTGGGGGAAGCTAGGCTATGTGGCTGCAGGAGCAGTTTGGCTTTAAGTGTCCCTGGCCCCACTCTGGTACTGACATGTGCAGGAAGGAAGAAAAGCAACTCAGGGAGTCCTGAGCCATGTATGTAGGGAGGGTGTAACATTGAGTGGTAACTGGCTGAGCCATGTATGGAGGGAGGGTGTAACATTGAGTGGTAACTGGCTGAGCCATGTATGGAGGGAGGGTGTAACACGAGTCATAACTGGCTGGGGGGTATCTTTCTATGATGTCCTCTAAGTAGGGGATCCTGAGACTTCCATGACTAGATACTGTTGATGCAAAAAATAAATAAATAAATAACAAAAACAACAAAAAAAACACCAGCTCTCAAATTAAAGGGAATAAGAGATGGTCTATACTGGTCATTTTGAATGACCAAGTCCAGAACCACAGACTTAGATGATCCTAAAGTTCATGTTCCAATGTGGAAGCAGTTTCTTAAGTTTTATAATCTTATCAAGCAAAGAAAGTCATAGATCAAGGTAAGTTTAAACTATATTAGTGAGTATATGAGACAGGTGGTTTTCTATAGGTCTAAGATGGCATCCTTGGCCTTCGGATTGGTGGAAGCTAGTAGTCTGCTAAGTTAACAGATTCCAAAAGGTTTTCATCTATTAGTCATGGGATGTGGATCTGACACAGAGGCAGAAAGGAATGGCTGTTGTAGGGGATATAGTTAGCCTAAGGCATGGTAATTAGTCTCTGGACCTGCAGCATTCCAACCTCTCCACAGTCCTGTAGTTAGTTCTAGTCAGTCTCCGTAGATGGCTTCTTTCTAGTTCTCATTCCCAACAGAGCAGCTTCTGTTGATCACTTACCATGAGAACGTGCAGAGCTCAGAAGGAAGCTCAAGGGCCCAGGTATGAGCGCAAGGCCCTCTGGATGCTGAAGGTGGGGAATCACTGTCCAGGTAGCCACCCTGACAACCAAGCACCCCAAATATTGCACATCAGCAGAGACAGAAGCCTTCAGATAACCACACTTCAGTTACTGGCCATATAGACCTGGGATATTGCACACATGAGACTTGAAATCACATATTATACACACATCATACACACGATACATATAGTATACATGCTATATATGTGTTACATACATTATATATACATACACATTATATACACTATATACACACACTATATGTACATAGACATTATACACACGATATATACACATGCATACTATGTATACATACATGTATACATATTGTACACACAATATATACATATACATATATTATACATAGACAGATTATACAAACACTATATATACACACACAACTATATACACATATTATACCAACTATATACATATATTATACAAATACTATATATGCCTATATCATATATACAATGTATATATATTATACACATTATATGTATATGCACACACACATGTATACACATATACTCACATGCATGCATATACATGCACTCACACACATGCATGCATATATATACCTACTCCACTGCTTTTTGTGTGGAGGAAAGATTAAGTGTTCAAGGGTTCTCAACCAATTTTCCCAAAGATACATACATCCCTTGGATGAGTGACTGTATGTCTAGGTGCCCTGTGTAGAATAACTACCCTCCAAGCTGGGCTAAAAGTCCTTCAATTTTCTTTAATTAAAAAGAAAATAATCATAGGATGATATGGAGACTGTCTAGAACTCCTCTTGGAAGAGCCAGGCCCAGATTCATGAGAGGCCCCACTATGGCATCTCCCCTGCAGTACAAATCAGTCACACTGACTGGGTTCCTCAAACAAGACCCATGAAGTTGCCTACGGGTCCTGTCATGGAGAGTCCTGCTTTAGGGGATCTGTAGCCTACAAACCTTCCATGGACCTGGCCTTGGGGGACACTCCAGATTTCAGTAAAGAAAAATAAATCCTCAGGTTTGTCTTGGTTGCCCTTCCTTGGACTAGATTTACAGGACTATCTTTACAGGTCTCCATAGGACGGTTCTCCCAGAGACACTAACACATCGGGTTCAACTGTGTGTGTTTCCGCAGAAGGAGAAGAAGAGTGGACTGCTGAAGCTGCTAGCTGGGGCATCTGCCAAGAAGAAGTCACGCTCCCCACCATCTATATCTCCAACCCACGACCCCCAGTCGGCCATGGATACCTCACTGCAGGGTGCCATGGGCCCTGAAGTGTCCCCATTGACCGTCCATGGCAGGGCAGGCTCCTGCCCCGTAGAGAGTGAGATGCAGGGAGCCATTGGCTTGGAGCCACTGCACAGAAAAGCTGGCTCCTTGGATCTGAATTTCTCTTTGTCCCCTTCTCGGCAAGCAACTCTGTCCATGGCTTCCATCCGCCCTGAACCAAAGCCACTGCCCAGAGAGAGGTAAGGAGATGAGGGCTTTTATCTGTGCCCTCTCTTTAGGACTAACATCTGAGTTCTGGAACCTTCTTGGGGATGGGCAAAATGGAGTCTCCAGGGGTCAAGCTTATCATATATTCCCCTTTACTCAGATCCTGGGGTATATTTCTTATTCGCAGCCTGCCTTGCATCTTAGGGTTCTTATTGCTTTGAAGAGACACCATGACCATCACACCTTTTCTTTTGTTGTTTAATTTAGAAACAATCTTATTTTACATATCAATCCCAGTTCCCTCTCCCTCCCATCCTCCCATGTCCCCCACTGACCCCCACTCCACCTCCCATCCACTCCCCAAGGAGGGTGAGGCCTTCCATGGGGTATCATCAAAGTCTGTCACATCATTTGGGGGAGGGTCTACGCCCTCCTCCACGTATCTGGGCTAAGAGTGTCTCTCCATGGCAACTCTTATAATGAAAACATTTAATTGAGGGGGCTGGCTTACAGTTTTAGAGACTCGGTCCATTATCATGGTGGGGAACATGGCAGCATGCAGGCAGACATACCTAAAGAGTCCTATATCTCACAGGCAACAGGAAGTCGACTGAGACACTGGGCAATATCCTGAGCATAGGAAACTTCAAAGCCCACTCCCATAGTGACATAGTTCCTCCAACAAGGCCATACCCAACCATCAAAGCCACACGTCCTAATAATACCACTTCTTGTGAGATTATGGGAGCCAATTACATTCAGACTACCAAACCTTCCTTCCTGGATTTGGGCTTGTTAATGATCCCTGCAAACATGTCCATACAACTGTGGCTCAGAGTACTGGGTTCTCAACCTTTGAGGACCCTCAAATGAACCCTTCCAGGGTCCCCTGTGGCCTGTGCCTCATCTAGTCACCCAGAAAAGCAGTTCTTTGAACCTCAGGACACTGTGACATTTTAATGTCATGAAATATTGTTTTAAGTTGTCTATAAAGTCTTTCAGGTCAAACCATTCACAATTGTCAATACTCATCCATTTTTATCCGAACTAGCAAGTTAATGTAATACAACCTCAAGTTTCACAGATTTGGAAACTGAGCCCAGTAATAGGGCCTGCTGAGGTTGCAGGCTGAGACCACACCTGCATGCTAATCAGAGAACACAGCAGCTGTCCTGCATGCTAACCTCAGAGACCACATCTCCAGGTGCCAGGTGGCAGGTAGACAAGGGATCATAGAGGCTTCCTGTCAGAAGCCCGATAGTAAGTATCACTGATGCTGTGGACTCCAGGATGTCCATGGCACTCTACTGTGCCATAAGAAGGCTGCCACAGACTATGCACGTAGTGGCTTGGTGTTCCAGAAAGCTCCCTGCAGTGACCAAAATTCAGATTTCTTGCAGCATTCTAGTGTAAAATCTCTAGAATCATTTTTAAATCATATTGAAAATGCAATAACATCCATAGCTCCACTACCACACAGCCACAAACTACGGTTCTAGATGTTTTTGAGCTGCATCTATGCTGCTGTCAGATCCAGGGCCATGGGCAGACCAATCTCTGCAGGGCCCTGGAGGGACACCATGAAGCAGTTACTGATTGCTCATGACCAATTAAGATGTACATCTGTATTGACATTTGCAGTTGTAGTACAGGTGGCTAGCATCCACTGAAGGCTCTGTGAAAGGCTGGTATTCAAAACATTAACAGTTGACATGAGTTCCTGCCACTGACACCAGGATGGCCAGGCTCTGCATGTAGCCTATACATACCTGCATTTCCTGAGTACATTATGTGCATTATCCATTGAGTCCCCTTATGAATCTTATTAAGCATCCCCATTTCCCGATGAAGTAACTGGTGTTCTGTCAAAGCCTAAGAAACTTACTCATGGTTCCACAGCTGGTGAGTAGCTGGATGAGAGAGAGGGCTTTCTGACCAGAGAGTCTAAGCTCATGAGATATTTGTTTTCACCAGGGTTCTCTAGAGGAACAGAACAGGGGATGGATGGATGTATTCACATATGTATACATATATATGAATCAGAGTATTAAGTGAGCTGAGATGCTAAGAGCCTAGTAGTTAGTTGGTCTTTGAGGTTGGGTGCCTCAACAGTCAGAGCTCTCTGTCCACAAGGCAAGTGCCTCACTAGTCCCAAACTGGTGCTGGGAGCCCAGAAAGTTCCTGGAGAACTCCTAGTTCCTAGTCAATGATACAAGTTTGGAAACTCTGGTTCTGCAGTCGGCAAGGAAATCAGCAGTAACAGGGCCGATCACTCCACAGCAAGGGGAAGGCCAAGCAGGCAAAGGAGGAATCGTTCCTCCTTCCCAAAGGCCCTTTTCATCTGGGCTGCTGCCAGAAAGCACTGCCCACAGTTAGGGCAGGCCATCCCACTCCAGGACAGTTCTTCAGGCGAGGCTCCCTACTCGAGTGATTCTAATTTGTGGCAGGTTGACATTAAGACCAACTACAATAGTATTCACAGACCCACAAAGGGCTCCATGTCTCCATGTGTACAAAAATGAAGAGAGAATGGCCAGAGGCCATGGTATCTGGGAGCTGAAGTTGAGGAACTCAAGATGTGTGATCTAGCTCCCGAGGCTAGCACAACTCCAGCTCAGACAGCGATTTGGGGCCCATAAGTCTGTGCCGGGCGGACAACCGTAGTGCTGACACAAAAGCAACTCTCACCTCTAAGGGAACAAGAGATGGTTTACTATGGAGCCAAAGCTAAGTGACCAGGGCCCGGGAAGACAGATTTAGGTCTCCCAAAATACCATGTTCCAATGTGGAAACAGCTTCATGAAGTTTTTTTATAATAACAGCAAGGAGAAAGTGATAGATGAAGGCATTTTTAAAAATACACTGGCGGAAACATCAGAGAGGCACTTTGCAGCCAAGCAGCCAAGCAGAGAAGGCTCAGCTGTAGGCCTCAGATGCTCCCTGATAACGTGTTTGGCCCTTTGCTTCGTGAGGAATAAGGCTTTGATAAGTCAATAAGTCAGTACATTCTACAGGTTTTTATCTGTTTAGCGGGACAGGGGTGACACAGGTGGGCGAGGAAAGGCCCTTTGGGGGGCTGAAGATAGTCCAAGAGAAATTGCATTAGGCTCTGGGCCTACACCATTCCAAAGACACAGTCACTGCAGTTTCAATCAGTTCGCCTTTGTGCACAGGGCTACCCCCCTCAGGTATTGTCATTTACATTAGAGACGCCAATATGGCTGCCCTCACCTACTGCAGCAATGCTGAGCATGGCCCTGACCCACCAGCTAGGTTGTGGGAGTGAGGGTAAAATACTCCTTGAGCTACCCCCAGTCTATCACCCGCCCACAACCCCACACATTGCTCCTCGAGGAGACCCACCCCCTCATCCTGTCAGCGGGCTACCACTGTCACCCGCCCTGGGGCTGAGGTACAGGTGTCTGACACATGCCATACACAGCTACCCAGATAGCAGAGGACCAGCAGCAGAAGGCAGAGGGCAGCAGGGGTGTCCTGTCAAGGACTGAGAGGTAGACACCAGACAAGCGCTGGTGTCTGAGAAGGCGGCTGGTCCTCAGAGGAGCACAGCCGCTCCAGCCTCCTGCAGGCCACAACTGCTAACACAGCACATTTCACAGTAGGGAAGCCTGGCGTGAACAGAACCCCAGTTCACACCCAAGTGTCCAGGCATTGTTGCCAAGGCAACAGGGCAGGGCGAGAGCAGCTCAAGAGAGCCTAAAGTGTGAACATCCACAGAAAGCGGAAAGGGGTGTCAGTCCCTGAGAGGGCCTCTAGGCTGGGCCCTAGATTCCTTGGAAGGTCAGAAGGGCGTGATCCTGCTGCTGCTGGAGTAGAGGTTCTTAGGAGGGTTAGGGGAAGGAATGTAAAGTGAGCCTAGGGCCAGCTGGGACTCAGCCCTGTGCGGCTAAAACTCTGTATAGCACACAGTAGGGCTTATAAAGATGAGGGCTCAGAAACGCTTGCTGGGGTTTTGTGGAGGAGTGAGGGTAGAGGCACAGTCAAGTGTCTGTCAGGCAAGTGCTATATAAAGACTCTGTGTTCTTGGAAAGGTGATAGCCAGGGGTCCAACTCTGGGCTCATATGTAGGAAAGCCTTTCACAGCCTAGAGCACCCTCAATGCTCACCCAGAAGGAGCTGTGGCCAGCAGCATGCTCTTAAGGCAGCTGGCCAGCAGAAGCAGAGGAGACACTTTCTCTGGCTTCCTTTTGTCATGGGGATGTGGAAACAGCACCTTGAAGCCTTGGGTGTTGCTGGTTGCCCAGGTCTTGTAGAAAAGGAATGAGGAGAAACTGGGCTTTTGCAGTACAAGTGATGTGATTTCAGCCAGTTCAGCCTGAGGCTGTGCGCACCTTATGATTTTAAAGATTTTAAAACGATACCCATTCCACCAGAGCAACTTCAAAGGCCCCTCCGGACCAATGAGGCCCCAGCCACATCCCCCTGAAAGGTAGTAAGTACTCCAGGAGAGGAGCCTTGAGTTTTAGATGCAGAACCTGGCACCTAGCAGGTTATGACCCAAAGGTCACAAAGCCAGAAAGGAACAAGCCAAGTGCCCAGTCTATGTCCTGGGACTGGAGCAGTCCCCATTTCCCAGAGGTGGTGGCTAATTGGGTACAGCCATGAATTCACTAGGGCAGACCTCCAGATAGGAGACCAGCATAGGTGCGGGGGGGGGGGGGGAGACGGGGAGGGATGAGAAATGGAGGAACTATGTAGAGGTCTAAGAACTAAAAAATAAGACAGCCATGCCTTAGATCTGTCTCTAAAAGACACCTAGGGGATGTCCTTTTTTTAATGGCCTTATTAATTCCACATAATGGGCTTCATTATCATTTTGCATACATAAGAATGATGTATTTTGATAGTTACCCCTATTGCACTATTTTGTCCCCTCTCGGCTCACATGCTGTCCCTTCTGTCCTCCCAGGTACCGGGTGGTGGTCTCCTACCCACCACAGAGTGAAGCAGAGATCGAGCTAAAGGAGGGTGATATTGTCTTCGTGCACAAGAAGCATGAAGATGGCTGGTTCAAGGGGACTCTGCAGCGGAATGGCCGCACGGGCCTCTTCCCAGGCAGCTTTGTGGAGAGCTTCTGAAGACTGCTGCTCATGTCTCGCTCTGCCATCTGGGAGAGGGTAGCGCAGAAAACACTCTGTGAGCAGAGGAAGCCTTACCACCTAGGACCCAAGGCCTTTCTCAAGCACCCGCCAGGAACAACTGGGCCGGGGTGGTAACTCAGTCGTGAAGGCCACACCAATTGAAAGCACACGTGGACGTCCCTGATGTTAAAGTCCTTATTGAAAGCACACATGAGTGTCCTTCAAGACCATGCCATGAATCTCAGTGAGCAGTGCAACAGAACAAGTTGCCCATGTAGACAAATGCACTACTATGCCACCCATCAGCTAAAGCAATATAGCTGTCTGTGCAGGGTTGGGAGCCCAGGGGGTATAGAGTGGGCTGTGTGCTAGGGCTGGCAGCAATGAGGAGTAACTTCCCTGGCTGCCCTGGGTAGCATCCCTCTATATACCTCTGTCACCTGCCATCGAGCCCCACATCAAGGGCATTCATGGTTCAGGAGCCTCATGTAAGGGCCCTGAGTCTCTCAGGGTGTCCAGTGGGCGGTCCTGTCGGGCACTGCAGAATCCTTATGGCTTTGTCTCCTACCAGGATAATAAGGAACACCTTTTGGTTTCGCCACCACTGTCTCTGCATTGCTTCCTTCTTATGGCACCTTTTTAATGTACAACTCTTAAACTTTCTATATTTCTAATAGGTCAGACACTGCATATTTTTCATACATCTGGTGCTGATTTTTGTAAAACTAGAAATCACTTGGGTAAGCTTCAAGGGGAAAAAATGAGGTAACATCAGAGGAAAGTTTTATATATTTCCCATATGAATTTTGGAGCATTTTGAGAATTCCTATCTGTAATATCAAAATGTTGGCTGGTACTCCATTAGGTGAGAGAGAGAGTCTGCTGAGATGGTCACCTGGAGTTGCAGAGTGTCTTTCCTGGCTGTTGGAAATAGCCTGAACTACATTCACCATCTATATAGGAGTAATTATGATTTCAAAAAAAAAAAAGGAAACATTTTGAGGAATTTATTCTGCCTTTTAAGATACAGGGAAACACACACACACACACATACACACACACACACACACACACACACTGACCCTTAAGCTTCCTTTGATCACTTTAGAGAGAATGACTAAAAATAGCATTCTTAAAGCACATCTTGCTGCCAAAATACAGCTTTTACAACAGCTCAGACCACTACCTTGCAAAGATTTCTTTCTCCATGTCAAAAATAAGTAACTTCCCATATCAGGTCAGGCAAAATTCCATCTGCTAGAGACCAAAGGTACAACGATGACACGGGTCTGATAAATAACTACAGACTAATGGCCCAGAGACGCTGGAAAATAGGATGGTCCCTTTGGCCCTGGGGCCTTCATTCACTCGAAGTTTGCTTCCCAAGAGATTGGCCTGAATGGCTATCAAGAGGTGTGAGTGTCACACTTTAGGAACACATTTTGTTTTTCATCTCAAATTTGTGAGCCTTTGTCTACATTTTTACAAAACCACCCAGACTTGTGTCAAGCTTCAATAGCAGAGGCTATCACCAGTTTTCATAATAAAATAAGGACCACTTGTTCTCAAAGCTATTTGGGGACATGATTTAACTAGTTGTGACTGCCATCTGGCTGTCACATGGAAGCATTGATGCCTATAGCAATGATGCCTATAGGAAGTCTCTTCCTCCATCGTAGTAGACTTATTGGATAAGAATATTAGACATAAGAAAACTGTACTAAGCCAAAGAGAAACTCTAGCTTAGGCATAGGGATCCCGGTATGCAGGGTTAGTGACAACCAAGAGATATCTAGTCACTGCCACTGCTAAATTACTTTCCCATCCATGCACAAAAGATCTATACATGGCTGAACCCATGCTGTCACTTAGGAGGTTCACAGATCTACATCCTGGGAGAGATATGTTTTCAATGGAGCCACAACTCACTCCAGTTTCCAGACGATAAAAGTCCCCTTTTCCCCTCCTCAACAAGATCAACTTAGAGGCAACAGAATAGACAACTTTGACCTGTCCTCCTCTCTCATGCTGGCTACTTCATGGTGGTGAGGAGGTAGCAGCTCAATAGGAAGCTGAGGAAAGTATCAAGGGGTCTGGAAACATCAGTCATGGCTTTGCATAGGAATTACCTTGGGGAGGCAAGCAGGGCCCAGGGCTCATTTCCAGGTGGGGCATTTTAAAATACACAGTAAAGCCCATGGCCCAAGTATTTCGAATACTCTGAGACCCTTTAGTTTTCCAAATCATGTATTCCCCAGTCAAGAACAGAAGAAAGGTACCTTTCCTGAGGTCATCTGCCCTTGAGGACACATCTTCACTACCAAAATGAAGCCAGCACCCCATCTAGAACCTTCACATTCCATTCTGGCCAAATACAGTAGTATTTGGTGGCCAGGTGATTTTCCTTGACTATTCTCAGCCCTTCAGATTGAGGGTCACCAAGGAGACAGGACAGTCTGAGAGAGACAAGATGGTTGGCAGTGGGGTATGAATACTGGCTGGGCACTCCAGTGGACTTGGAAGCCCTTGTACTTTGCACAACACACATACACACAAACGTGCAAGCACGTGTCCCCAGCCCCACATGTGTTTCTATTATACATCAATGTCAGTATGTAATTTTGGATGAATTGACAGTAGTGGCAAACTGTGTTTCTGAGTCTTTAAATAAAAATGACCATGGAGAGGCTGTGTGTCTCAATAGTGGGAACAATGTAGTTGGGGCAGATGGTTGGGGTGGGGAGGATTCAGTTCCTGGATGGGACAGAATTCAGAGAGTTGTCTTGTGTTCCGTTGCTATGAGGAGACACCATGACCAAGGCAGCTTATAAAAGAAAGCATTTAATTGGGGCCTTGCTTACAGTTTCAGAGGCTTAATCTATGGTCATCATGGTGAGAAGCATGGCAGCAGGCAGGCAGACATGCATGGTAATGGAGCAGAAGCTGAGAATTCACATCTACTCTGCCAGGTACAGACAGAGAAAGATGGGGACTGAACCTACTGTGGCTTGTGGCTTTTGAAACCTCAAAACCCACCCACAATGATACATACACCTTCTTCAACTAAACCTTCCTAAACAGTTCACCAACTGTGAACTCAGCATTCAACTATACACGTCAATGGGGGACATTCCCATTCAAACCACCACAAAGGCATTGCCTAAGCCAGCCCTAAGACTCATACTTGTCACCTTCTGCTCCTTCAGGGGCATATAGGCTCTGTGTATATCAGGACAGGGTGGGGGCTGAGGAGTCCAAGAAGTGGCCAGCTGTGAAGCTGAACATGATCTGTACCAAGCATACATTAGATGTCAACTAGTTATCAAGAAGCAGCTACAGATGCCATTGTGACATGGAGTCAGAGGTGTCTTTTGTTCCCTTCCACGAGCACACTTAGACTTACTCAAGTCCTTGTCATCCGGAATTGCCTAGTATATATACATTGGGGCAAACTCCCAGCTCTGCTCTTCTCTCTGGCCCTCAGATGCTCAACCCATAAAGAGCACAGGGTGAGAGAGACAGGGAGACACCAGAAAGGTGGGTGTGTCCCACAGCAGGAAGACATGTAGACTAGCAATAGTGTCCCAGACAGGATGTATTCCTGAAACAAAGCTTTCATTGGCTTCTCAGAAGAGATGTGACCCACGTTGCTTTCTGCTATTGTGAAAAACATCAGGACCAAAATAAACTTTAGAAAAGTGTTTAGTTAATTTTACACTGCCAGGTCACAATCCTCCACTGAGGAAAATCAAGGCAGAAACTGAGGCAAGGACCATGAAGGAATACTGCCTATTGGCTTGCTTAAATAGCTTTCTAGTTTTTAATTCTTTCTTTTCTTTTTTGAGATTATAGTATAGCATAATTACATCATTCCTCCATAGCCTTTGCTTCTTCCAAGCCCTCCCATAGACCTCTCCTTGCTCTCTTCCAAATTTATGGCCTTTTTTCATTAATTATTCTTACCTGTATATATGCATATGAATATATGTTAGGAATATATATGTACACAAACACACATGCACACACATATGTATATATACATATATATATGTGTGTGTGTGTGTGCTCTTCTGTGAAGAAGACTATTTCTCCCTCTCTCAGCATCAGATACAGGGCCCAGAGGCCCCTGAGCTCCTCCTTGAGGACTAGCTTTCAGAGTACCAGAAGGTAACATGGGAGCTTCAAAGGGGGAAGCAACCAATAGTTCTACACAGCTATGATGCCTATAAGTCACAATAATGACCAGCATGGCACAATAACCCTAAGGGCACAGTAGTGGCATTCATACTTTGGTGATAGCCAACGACTCTCTAATTGGACCTAAGACCCACTCAACAAGAGGGAAGTCATACCTGGCACTGGAAACCCGGCCAGCTACCAAGGACTAGTGAAGTCTTGGGATCTTGGAGGGGAACCTACAACTGTCACTTTAGTAAGCCAGTATAATCCCTAACTACATTCTAAGTATTTATCCTTACCCCTGCAGATAAATGTTGTCCTCACCTCTCAACAAGGAGACTTCTCTGTGCAACAGACAAACCATTTCAGCTAGGTTTCTTACACAGCTCAGGCCCAACTGCCTAGGGATGGGCACCATCCACAGGTGGCTAGGCCCTCTGACATCAATTACCACCTAAGAAAATGCCTCACAGACATATACAGAAGCCAGTCTGATGGAGGCCATTTCCTAACTGAGACTCCTTCAGACCACTCTGGGTTCTGTTGACAACTGAGCTAGAAGAGATGCACACATGCATCTGACACGTGGCAAAGAGCCACTTTATCTTTCCATAAAACTCAAGGACTCTGTAGGAGTAAACGATACAGCATGGCTAGTATCTGGACAGGATATTGCAGGGGGAAACATGCTATGTCTGTATGAAAGATGCCTCCACCTTCATGTGCTGGACAAGCAACCAATATAAGGGGTTAAGTAACTGTCACAGATTGCTATGACTCCAACTACAGTTCAGTTTTCTAACATCAGGTTGACTCTTGCATTTCCAAATTCTAGGTGCTGATCCACAGCCTCTAAGTGAGTGTAACCATACATTATGAAATGATGTATCAGCCAAGGATAGGATACTTAGATGACAAGTGGCCACACAGATTATACTGGAGCTGAGGAATTCTTGTCACTTAGCAACAACAAAGCCTTTATAATGCCTTAATACAATGTATTCCTCATGTGAAGATGGTAATGCTGATATAAATATCCTTAATACACTGACAGACTACTACATACTAATATGTGCATGACTTACTAATACTACTACATACTAATACTGCATGACTTACCAGCATGCATATTTACTATATCTCTTATTGGAAAATAGTAGTTCATACATATGTTTACCTTTTATGAGTAAGTCAAAAGGCCAGACTAAGTAATTGACTTCTATTGTCTAAGTCTGTGGTGCTAACACAATGAAATCAACTGAACAACACAGCCCATCATCTGAGACTGTATCTCATCATTAAAGAGATGTGATCATAATAAATCAATTACTAGTGTTGGAAGTAGGGGCCCAGAAGAAACACAGACTGTGTATGCCACAGTATCTGAAAAAATACTGTGGTAACTTTGGCAAGTTACCTAAGCTGTTTTGTAAGATAGGTGAAAGATAAACCTCTAGGTTTATACTCAAATCATATATGCACACACTCTGGTTCTGGGTTTACACTCACTGAACAAACTACCATAATAATTTAACACAGGGAGAAGGGTCCTGGTTGGGTCCCTTGAACCATTCAGTACCAGAGACATTTTTCATTAGAGAGGGCTTACTCCAGCAGCTGATGGATGCTGATGCAGAGACCCACAGCCAAACATTAGGCGAGCCCAGGGAAGCCCTCAGAAAATGGGGAGAAAGGATTCTAGGAGCCAGAGGGGTCAAGAGCACCAGAACACAGTCCACAGAATCAACTAAGCCAAGTCATAGGGGCTCAGAGAGACTGACTGGGCAATCATGGAGCATGCATGGGTCTGTGCTGGGTCCTCTGCATACAAGCTCTAGTTGTTTAGCTTGGGGTTTTGTAGGACTTCTAACAGTGGGAGTAGGGGTATTTCTGCCTTTTTCACCTGCTCATGGGACCCTTTTCCTACTGGGTAGCCTTGCCCACCATTGAATAAGGATTTGTACCTAGTCACATTGTATCTTGTTATGCCATGTTGGGTTGAGATCACTGCTCTTTTCTGAGTGGAGACAGAGGAGCAGTGGACCCTGAGGGTAGGGGAGATAGAGGGAATGGAGGGGAGACTGTAGTTGGGATACATTATATGAAAGAAAAAGATATTTTTATTATCCACCAGTGAATGAAGCTGTCCATTGAAGCACTAAGTCCCTATAAGTTTTGTTGAGGTGAAGCCAGCATTCCTGCCTCTGACTGACACCGATATGAGGTGCCTGCTCTCCATTTCAACTTCAAAACAAAAGGCCACAAGAGGCACTACAGAGTGAACCATGAGAGTCACTGTCCTTGACAAAGCTACAAAGACAAGGTACAAGGTAGTTAATGTCATGAGTACCTAAAGCATCATTGGATGGTTTCTGAGGAAGGGAGCCAAACTGGCCAGAAGCACCCACTTATGCATACCAAAGCCCTGGGCATGCAGACTTTATGAGCTTTTCCAGTGAATGGAGGGGAGACTTACCAGATGGTCCCTGTCATGATGGTGGTTGAACCGGTGGTTTTCCAATTTTACTATCATGAAAAAGCAATACATTCAGTAGAAATTATACTTTAAGTTTTTAATCCAGGTCTTTCCTGGGGGGAGTAACACATAGTCTCATCCTCTCTTTTGCTGTTAGGCAGTCGCAGAAAGCTGTAGCTGCATCAATCCTGTAATAGAAGGGAGACAACCAATGCTCTGCAGTGTGCTGTGCTGCTTACATTTAATGTATATTTGAATTATCAGAATTTCAGCTTATGGTTTGACTGAGACATGATCCTATCATGAAACAAGGAACCTCTACCCAGCATTTATGTGTATTATCCTATTTAATCCAATTGTCCATGTCTGTGTGTGTGTGTGTGTGTGTGTGTACGTGCACATGTATGTAAAGGCACACATAAGCCATGACACACATGTGGAGGTCAGAAGCCAACCTCAGTTTTCAGTCCTTGCTTTCCACTTTGAGATAGGATCTCTTGTTATTCACCATGGCATATACCAGGCTAGCAGGCCTGCTAGCTTCTGAAGATTCTCAGCACGGAAGCCCTGGGGTTGCAGGTGTGTGATGTATATTCTAGTTTTGTGTGGTTCTGGGGATCCAAAGTCCTTACATTTGCACAAGAGCCATCTCATCAGCCCTGAAGCATGGTTTTTATTGTCTCCATTTTACACAGGAAACATTATAAAGAACAAAAATGGAAACAGTCTTAACCATGATAGTACAAGAGAGAATAAATTTCATGAGCGAATAAATGAAAAGAGAACCAGAAGAGAAACAACCACATCCACTTTGGTAAACTAGCTAGCATCAAATACACATAAGGCAAAGGGAAAGAACAAACAATAATAAACCAGAAAAATAATCAACAAAATTAAAAGAAATCAGAAGATCCTTCTCAGTAATAACACTAAATGTAAATAATCTCAATTCTAACTAAAAGATTCAGACTAGTGGATAAAAGTCTGGTAACCTGAATCTGACCCCTAGAACCCAAGTAAAGATAAAAG